CTCTACACTTTTCGCTATATCAATATATTAAACTAAGTAAATGCCAAATACTATTTAATTAAATTAATTAAAACTGCGCAATTACGAAAATATTACAAATAATAAAAATAACATAAAATCGGAAATTAATAATAAATAAACGTAGTTACAAACGACGAAAGCGAAAATATCGCGAAGATGTTAAAGGAAGGATTTAGAGGTGAATTTATACAAATTATATTAAAGGCGAACGTGGAATATTAAGTTGTTTGGATTCCGGCTTGTATATATATATAAAAAAATAATTAGGCCATCCTGGCATTCTTGACATCCTGTCATACTGGCCCTTGACATCCTGGCGTTATTAACATTTTGTCATATTGGCACCTTGACAGCCTGGCAAATGATCTTTAAAAGGCTAACTGCAAATATCGAAAGCGATACTCATGCGGAATTATGAAGATTTCGAATGAAATTGCATTCAATTGTAACACTAGCTATATGAGTTAAGATAATTTAAGGAGTTAAGTAAAGTTGGTAAGCCGATTATCACAATAGAGTTTCTTTAAGGAGTTTGGTAAAGTAGGTAGGATGAATATGGGAGTATTGTTGCACCGTTAGGCAATGTTGGTAAGCTGGTTATTTGAGCAATAAAGCAAAATATAACCGTTGAGTTTGATAATGTTACGATTACAACTGAGTTTGTCAATTTTCGATATCTTTGCAATCAGATTAAGGTATTCAATATTATTATTTAACAATTCCTTGTTTTCTTTGGACAATTCTTCTCGTTCTCTAATTTTGATTTGTAAATTAATTACTTGGCTTTGGCCTTTTTTTCTTCTAATTATTAATATTGACTTTGGGATTATTTTTCTCGTTCTTTAATATTTCTTCTAAATTATTAATAATTTCTTGCTCCTTCACTAACCTTTCTTCTAAATATTTGAATTTATTTTTCTCTAATTCATTTAAGTCTTTTAAGAATCTTTCTAAATTGTTCCTTAAGACATTTTTTTTTTGATTGAAATATTTTTTCTAATATCAGTTCAGTTTAATTTTTTCGGATGGTTATTTATTGATTTTCTTGCATCTAATAATTACCAATAGAAAATTCTTTTTCTCAGCCCTCGGTTTAAATTTTTTCCAACTGTAATATTTCCCTTAATTAAATGATTTCAGAAAGAATCATAGCCTGTATTTGAGGCAGAATGTCGCAAAAGGTTCAACACTAATACCAAGTTACTGATTAGTGCTCCGTAAGGATCAGATCTGGTCAGGTTTGAAGGATATTCGAACTCAATCCCGTTAATAATTACAGAACCTGAAGTCAACTCGACACGATCATTGTTTGACTCGGTTCAACCCGGGGATCGACTCGAACTTGAAGGGTGATATATTAATTCCGAAATAAACAAGCGTCGTATATTATTTTTATTTTATTTTTAAAATTTTTTAGTTTATTTTTTTTTGTTTACATTAATTCCTAAATATTATTTTTTTTTTTTACATTTTTTTCCACCAGGATTTCAAACACAGGTGCGAATTGTATTACAATTTGAGGTTATATGAATTTAATGTAATGCCTTTCAGATTGTGTAATGCCTCAGGAAGTTTCCAAAGACTTATAAATTATGTCATACAACTTAAGCATCTAAATTCGTTTCAGTAAATTTGGATGTATTATTTTTTATTCAAAATCTTTCGAACAATACGTTGATATCGTCAAGCAAGCTTTCAAAGCGTTAAGAGAAGCCAATTTGAAAATTAAGTTAAAGTAATGCAGTTTTTGCATGCCCAATTTAACATTTCCAGGATATATTGTTGGTATTCTATCAGATCCAGCTAAGATTGAGAAGTAAAAGACTTATCAATACCAAAAGATGTATCTCAAGTATGACCAACTCTAGGATTACAGAAAATTCATTAAAGACTTCTCTCGAATTGCAAAACCAATCAACACTCTGTTGAAGAAAGATCAAAAGTTTGAAAACGCAACAGAATGCACTTAATTGTCTAAGAGTAGTTTGATCAATGCACCAATTCTACAATATCCAAATTTCGGTGAGACCTTTATTTATATACTGATGCATCACATATATTGATTAATTCCATTAATTGTCATTTTACACGCCTCTTTAAAGTACTCAAGGTGAAAAGGAATAAAATTACTCGAGATGATGACCCAAATGATAATTCGAACGATTCAACGATGAAGAATCGTCAAAAGAATCTGAACGACGTACTGAATGATCCTTCAAACTAATATTGTTTAATGCCTGGCTGAATTATATATCTTTTATGTAAGTTCACTTACTTTTTATTATTTAAAATTTTAAAGAATTCTTAATTGATCAATGTAATTATCTTATTTAAACTAGCTAATGAAGACTACGCAGCAATATTGTTCCAAGTTTCATTCTATTTCTGAAGTTTACCTCACGCAATTAGATCCTATCTCGATTCACCTTGATAGATGTGACAAAAGAACAAAAAAAAGAAATGATTGATAAAAAAGATGTGTAATGGATAAAAACATTGCTCTTTTTATTTTAGACATGATATCAAATTCTTCTTCATATAATATAAATAAATCAATTTTACGCCTTGACTGGTTTTGGTTGTAAATAGGATTTTATGAGGTGATTTTTCGTCAAGATTTATAGAACATGAATAATATTATAATCTATCCAAATTTCTCTTAAGTTGATCATACGAATAATGCTCATTGACCATCAGCTTTTTCTTATCTTCGATAAAGACCTGGAAAGTTTTTATTGTACTTTGGCAGTAGAAAATTCTGATAGAGATTCTGAAAATGCAAATATTTGGTCTAAATCGAAACTTTGAGAAACTGAAATAGAAATTAGTTTTCCTGAATTCTTGATTTTTTTAAATCAAATTTATAATGCGTTATTTACTAAATTATCAATTATTAGATGAAAAGTAATGACCGAATTAAATAATCACGCCGATGATGATATACCTTTTATTTCTATTGGTAATAATTTATCATTATTTTTTTAAAAAGACATTGTAATTCTTTAATTGATTTAATAACAAAATGTTCATTAAATCATTTAATTAGCTTCTTGATTTGACTTTTTACTTATACAAAAGAAATTTAGAAAATCGAGAAAAAATGAGAATTATATTTAGATTTTGATTAAATATGGATGATGAATTATGTGATGCAATAAAGTTGTAAAAAATGCGATTTGAAGTGAATATTTGTAAATCGGTTCTTGCGTCAATGGCCAATTAGAAGAGATCATTGATTCCCTCTTCGCAAGTAATTATAAGTGACAATGGTTAAACATATTATTAAATTTTTGAAATCCTCAAGAATTTACAACTTATTTCTTACCTTATTGTTATATTATTTCAATTTAATTTTAGAAAGATTTCGTTCGAAATATCATGATATCGAAAGTCAAATTAGAAATCAATTTCAGATCCTAGTTTAGACTTAAAAGGAGGTACTGTTTAATGATGATCATTTGTTGAAATATTTTAAAACGACTAAAGATTCTGGAAGTGTAATGAAACAATTACATAATCGTAATTCAACCTTTTTATACCATATTCTTGTATCAACATTAATTCGTTATGGATAGACGCTTGTATTACAAGAACCTATGCGAAAATAAACTTCCGTTGACTTACATCAGCTAGCATTTGTTTACTTATAGAAACGCCTATAACCTTTTCTTCATCTTTACATATTCCACTAGATATTGGCATTTGTTACACTGATGACTCCATATACCAGTGTCTGTTATTTACATATTCACATTCACCATCACAATTAACAATTGATGATTTTTCACCTTCATAATCACATTCAACTTTTCCTATTAGAATTCAATACCGAAAAATATAAGATAATGCATTCAATGCTTTATAATTGACAACTATATTTAAATGTTAAAATTCTTGTACAATGTTAAAATGATTTGCTTAAACTTTGTGAATGAGAGATTTAGAAAATTTAACAAATGTCATCATGGTGGAACATTCATATGCAGAAAAAAAAACAGCAGATTCCACACGAGAATTTCGGATGTTTGATACATTGAGTGTTAGGCTTACAATGTAGACTGCTGCTGCATTCCAAAAGTTATTGTTTAAAATGTCTCGAGTAACCTGACGGTAGGGTCATCAAAGGTTACCCATTGGAATAAGTGATCTTTTCTTTTAATCAAATTTAATAATTTTTAAGAAAGAAATTTTTTTAACTAACAACAACTGATTTACTAGATTAGGTGCTAAACGATTAAAAAAAAGACTTTCGCTTAGAATAGAAGTAGTAGATATTAAAAGGACATTCATTACTTGTTTCTTGAAATGATAGTTTAGACGTGGGAGTTATAGATATGCTTTACATATCATATAAATAACAATTCATGGCTTGATCATCTTATGGGTAATCAAGTTGCACCAGATCCTTCGCCTAATAAAATATTTTCACTTAAAAAAAATAAATCTGTGATCTATTCTATTTAATTCAAAGTTGCTGCTCTTGAAAAACTTGTCACGTCTCATTACCGTCCCATATTAACACACGTGAAGAATTAATCATAAATAAAACAAAAATTTCAAAGTAAACGTTCCAAGGTTATAGTTTTTATTACTCAAGAATTATAAAGTTTTTTTCATAATTTTTTATAAAATAATAATAATTTTATTACACATTATAATATATACTAATTTACATAGATACATTTAATGATCGTTCAAAAAAAAAAAAAAAATCGTTTTTCACCACCGTATGAACTCTTCTTAATGGATTCCCAGAATAGTGTGATTTAGACGCAGCATCATCAAGCAATTAAGCGACGACGCAAGCATCAGGCCGTAAACAGCAACGCAATAAAGCATCAAGCCGTAAACAGCACCGACGCAATTATGGTTTAAGAAAGGTGGGGAAAAAGGGCAAGCTTGTCGCAATTAGTTACATGCACATCTACCACATGACAGGGCTATCTTCATTAGGCTTAAACACAAGTGCCTAGACATAACTACTCAGTCCCTCCCCGCAGTAATTGGCCATCTGAAATAAAATATAATGTCTTAGCGTGACCATTTGGACGTTGTTGAAGTGCTGAATCATTGGTAGTTGCTGTTCTGAAAATCGAAAGTTGCTGCTCCTGTAGATGTTGTCCAAGCCGCCGGTGATATTTTTCCAACGGTATCGTCTAATAATACTTTACCTGAACTGATGGCCACCGGATAATCCGACTCACCCTTACCAGCAGACGGAAACCCACAGGAACACTCCCTAATTGCGACATGCGGTTTTTTATTGTCAAGAAAAGTGAAAAGGTGTTATTTATGCTGACGAAAAAGTGTATGGAAGATAGACCAGAAAAAGGAAAAGTTGGAAGGTATGCTAACGAGAGAAGACAGTAAGCCTGTGAGAGAAAAAAAAGACAAAAGATGCACTTTATTTAATTTTGGTGCGATGTCTCGTGATTAGATCATAATACGTAATATTATATTCGATCAAAATGTTGATTAATTTTCCTATATTGGCTAATAATGAGTATAGCTACCAAAAGACCCGATAAATGTCATGAGTTGAGTCAAAGATTTTCGAAGTGGTTAATGTAGTTGATGTTATGAAGGATGAATATCATCATAAGTTTCGGGATTATAATGACCATATTCTTAAATTTTAAAATAGTGGATTTTTGAATAGGAACCTACTTCATCTCTTGGGTCGCGAAACGGTTTTGCTCGACGAAAGTCTTTCATATCATCAAAAGCTAATGCCAGAAAGAAATGGATGTTTGATGATCATCATACTGCTGAAAATCAAAGTAACAAACTTCGAATAAATTGAATAAATTGAATATGTCTATTTAAAATTCATGGTCAAATAATAGAGAGTAGAGTAATTTGATACATTATTATATTTTTTTTTTTTACGAGCGAATTTAAAAAAATGTTCAAATGTTAGGATGAATAAATTTTTATTAAATAGAAATAAATATAAATTTAGATTATAATATATAATTTTATTAGAATTTCTATTTAACCTTCTAATCTTCAGGATCTTTCAAAATAACGACTAAATTGTCTTTATGAATAATAACATATTCGGAACCGGCATAACCCAACTTCTTTTCAATTTCATTACTTTACAACCTTTAATCCTGGAAATTTCCGTTGAAGAATAATTCACCAACCTTTTCCGACTGTAATCAATTCAGGAATTTCTTCACCATTCTCATTAACATTAACATGAAATTTTTCAAATATTAATTTAACAGCTTGATGATTCACGAAATTTCCTTCAAATTTCACAATTCCGGCAGCAAACAAACTACTCTTTTGTCCAGCATTCGTTATAGCTTTTATAGCACCTTCATCAATTAATATAGTACCAGCTGTATGTAACCCGTAATATCCACCACTATTTATCTATCATTGGATTATTTTTTGCTAAAAATCGTGCATGAAGGGGTTTAATGAAGGATTTTTATACGAAACCGAATTTTGATCATCTACGTTTGATAAATTTGCTATGATTGAAAGATATATTTTGGTGTTGGTCAGCGAGTTATGATCGTTGTGACTCCAGCAGCTGTTGCAAGATCTGCTGCTATAAGCTTTGTTACCATTCCTCAAGTTCCTAATGAACTTCCAGGCGCTAAAATCGTAACTAATAACGAGAAAGAGTTAGATAGAATAAATAAAACAAAATGAATTGAATAATCAAGAATTAGATTTCAAAACCTTGTGTATATATAGACAATCAACATCTGTCATCAAGAACAAATAGTCTACATTAACCATTCCAGCTGTTATAGCTGATAAGGTATCATTTCTCCAAATCGAATTTCCTAAAGATTATATGAAGTGGAGTAAGAAAATTTATTCAAGGTTCATGTATACTTTTTTTTTTTCCACATCAACTTACGATCATGGAAATTGTATCATTTTCATTGACAATCAGAAAAACACCCATCGACAATAATTCAGAAAAAGTTTTGATAGCATTAAGGTATTGGAGTTCGCTATAAATAAAAACGATTAATATTTATCCAACCATAATTAAAATAATCAGTAAATTTCGTGTAATTTTTCTTACATCAGCAAGATCACGAGTCAATAGTATTTGCGCAATCGGTTGATTGAGTTGACTAAAAAGGTCATCATACATTCTCATTAACCAACCGCGGCAAGTTCCTTTTCATAAAGAAAATAATAAAATAAACAAATAAATTTTTTTTTGTAAAAAAAAAAAAAATCATTTCTCATTACAAATTTCAATTAGATTATCACCTGAATCGCGGGTAAATTTTTACAAAAACCACCCTATTACCTAAATGCCTAAGTTTTACAGCGATTTCATAATTGTAAGATTTGACAATAATGGCAAATCGGTTTTATTGATGACGTTCTGAGTTATATTACAATTATTGATTGTGAATTGCCCGGACATGGATTTTTATGGACATAATTTGGGCAGGATTTTATTTTTGAGCGAGAAATTCAAAATCTTTTTTTTTTAATAATTTGATTGACGCTAAAATAATTAAATGGTGTAACAAAAAAAATTTGGATGGAAAAATTGATTTTTTTTTTTTTTTTTGTATTTAATTTATGCATATATTGTAAATTAAACTATACATACTAGTTTCTCATAATTATTTTAGCTTGATTTACAAAAGAATATTTTGTCAAGTGTTTACTAAGCGATTATGAAAATGCTATCACATAAATTTTATTTAATTTAGGAATTGACATTAGTGTAAATTCATATTTAAAGCTATAAGTAGGGTTTGGGATCGGTCCGATCAAAATCTAAAATTTTTTTATTACCTATATTATTTTGATATTAAGAAATGTATTGTAATTTTGACATCTTGTCTTTCTAGGAAACATTGTGATGGAATAAATTCTTTCGATAACAAATGTAAACTGACCCTTCGTTGACAATAGGTTCCGAATAACTTTAAATAGACTAATATTCAAATGTCGTTACTCAGATTTCAGCATATATCTGGTATTAAAAGCATATATTTTGTTTGATGATTATGTTGTGACTGAAATTGACTTTGAGATGTACTGTTTGTTACATTGAAAATATTTCGCCCGAAGATACCATAATTTTTTATGGCAGTTCCTTAAGAGATCATTTTGACATGTTGTCACAGTGCAAGGTATTTAGGATGGCAGGATGTAAAAATGGCAGATGCTATGCTGTCCTAATAATTAATTTTTTTTATAGATACGAGCTGGAAATTTTTAAACAACTTAACATTCCACGCACGCCCTTCTTATATACTCCTTAAAAACCTTCATTTAATCCCTTTGCGATATTATCGTTTTCGCCGTTGTAACCATTTAAGTTTTATTATTGTATCTTAGTATATTTTTTATTCACGATTTCTTATCATTTTATTTTTCAATTTTTTGTAATTGCGCAGTTTTAATTAATTAGAGTTTTATTATTTAGTTTAATATATCCCGACGTTTAATATTATTTAATAAAGTTAGCGTTAATATTATTCATTTTACTCAATAAAAACCTTTTGCTTACATTTAAAATTGTTTATAAATGCATAAAAAAAAGACTGAATACTATATTACCATTCTTTATGGTCAAAAAGCAAATTACAAGTGTAAATCGTGATCTTTCGGTTGGAACTATATTAGATGTAACAGTATTAATTATTTAATTTTTCGAAATATAAAATTTGTTATTGAAATAAAAAAGGAAATTGAATTTATTAACATATGGCTTATGTACGTTACAAAGCCTTTTGGCTTAGTTACGTTTCTAAAGCCTCTTGGCTTAGTTATGTTATCAAAGCTTCTTACTTAGTTACCAAAGCCTCTTGGCTTAATTACAACAAACAATGCCTTTACAACATCAATATCCCATTTGCGAACTGGCCGGAATTGATCTTCGTCGTCTAAATAAAATTAACATGAACAATGTGTTGAACCGATTATATTTAGGATTTACAATGGTGTGATTAGTTGAGAGTGGCTTTAAATGTTGTAACGCTCTTTATGAGAATCTCCAGCAATCAATATAAGTTTTTTAAGGATAAGCCCAGTAAGCCTGATACTTAAGAAAAAACTATATAAAGTGAGGAAATTTTGTTATCACTTTGTCAAGAGACAGCCATTCCATTAAATAATTTAAATTGTAACACTAACCTGATTATCTTATAAATACACGTCTTTAAGCTACATTCCCACAAGAATCAGTTTATAAAATTCACATATTATAAATACATTTGTAATATTCCTTCAAATATTTTCAAAGTCATCATGAAAATTCACATTTTCATGCTTATTATCGTCATTTCAACTTTCAGTAATGTTGCTTTCTCAGCTCCTTCTTCTAGTGATAAACACTCAAACTTGGTGAAAAGGTGGCAAGAAGACTGTGACTGCTCCATTTGGTATACTCGTGATTTTGGGTGTTGCTTTAACACACTCGAAGAATGTACTCGATGTGTAAGAAATAGATTTTAGTTACAGGCAAAACCCTAAACTCATTATGGCAAAAGTTGGAACTTTTTAAAACTTATTTCGATGGGTTTCCATGGGTTTCGATAGTTTCGATGGGTCTCGATGGGTCTTTGAAGTTTCGACAGTTTCGATAACAACTTTGCGAATTTGACGGTTTTAACAGGTTATTGTATCACAATGTAGAATATAAAAACGATTTTTTTTTTTTGCTTTTTATTTTAAATTAGAACAAAGTTTCCAAAATATACATTATTTATCGAGCAGGTTTAAACTTATTTGGTCATCTCGTTAAATAAAAATAATAAACTTTTAAGTTCAAAAATTATATTTTAATATCAGAAGGTTTCGACGGGTTTTGCCATCCGTCGGAACTTCTGGAATCCGTCGAAACTTTTGCAATTTTGCCTTCAATAAAAACGTTTCGACGGGTTTCGATTTCGATGCCTGTCGAAACCTCCGAGTTTTACCCAGAAACCTTATGCAGGGCAGGATGATATCGTTTCTCAAAGTATGTATTTGTTGCGATGTCCCAAAACGGAGGCATATTGTGTTTAATCCTACCTGGAGTTAATTTTTGGTTTATCTTATTTCTGTATTGGTAATTGTTACAAATAAATATTTAATAAGCTTGTTTAAGTATAACTCTTTCTATGTAAACGGTTTTGGATAAAGGGATTGTTTAGGCGAAAAACCAAAATAATATTCTGATATAAATAAGCATAGCGATAGGCTACCAATGATCTGTTTTCTTTGCAAAGGTTGCATTAAAATTACCATTCACGAAAATTCCAAATTATCTGATATAGAAATACAACATGTTGTATATCCAATACGACCAAATACTACAATTTCAATAATTTCACACGAAGAAAAAGCTTTTATATTAAATGATATAGATTTACTTCCGCGAGAAATCTATAAAAGGCTAGTTGAACGTGGTTAAATATTAATATACGCCAAAAACAGATTCATTCCTGGTAGGTTGAATTATGAAAAAACCGATATAAATAAAATGAAAATTCTTTTATTTCTGCACAGGTATGGATTGAAGATATTTAATAATTCTTTTAATAAATAAATGCATCTTTTTTTCTGATTAAATAATCAAAATTTGAAAATGATTACTTACATGTATTTTTTTAAAAAATTGGAATATATGTATTTAGCATATTTATTTATTAAGTGTAATGTTATTGCATTTATTTATTAAATAATACATTCACACACATTTATTAATAAGCAATCACATTAAAAAATATGTGGACTTGAACCTATCTTTTTTCTTAAGACAATGATTTTTGCACAAAATATCAGCATCTGGACAAATGCCAAAATACAATTATGGCTTTGGCATATAAAATAGGCAGATTAACAAATAATAAAAATCCCTAACAAGTGAATTATAATGGTTTTGTAGCATATAAACATTTTTCTTTAATTGACCCTTCACTTTGCCTAACTTTATTCTAAAGACAAGATTTCTTTTTGCCCAAAGGAATTATGGCAAAATATGGAAATTTATGAATAGACATTTACACCAGCACCCATTAATTCTAATAGACAATGGACAGTTTTTATCTTTAACTGAAATTTGGAATGCTGCAGTTCAAGAGATTTATTATTTTTGCAAAAAAATTCTTTAGCATGGCTGTGGGTCTATTTAAGGAATTAGTAGTACTCTTCGGAGCGCTGGATTTATTATTCGAACAGGGTGTGATATAATTTCAATTTTAAAGACAAATATGTTTGTTAAAGCACATTGGAAAGTATTTAAACGTGATTTTTTTTGTAAAAATTTTTTCATCCGCGTTAGATTTAGTGGTATTTATAATGATGGAGAGGTAATACTATATCAACAAAGAAAGTTTAAGCAAGTGTTTTTGGTATAAAGAGAAATCTCGGAATGGATTTAAAAGGGAATGGAAAGACCTAGCAGGACGGCCATCTAATAATACATATTTAACAGATGTTACGCGTTGGATATGTGGATGTCCAGCTTTTTTTACTAGTCGTTTCCTTATTTGTAAACACTTGTTCAACAAAAAGGATTGTAAACATTCGATTTTTTGATGAGGTTCATCGTCATCATCAGTATTCTTTTGTCGACACTTCTTTATCACAAGTTATTTAATTTTAGACAAATCACTTTACATACAATTGCCAAATATTGAAATTGTTGAAGATGTGGAAATTTATGATGAATATACAATAAGCCGATAGGTTCAATGGAAATGATTAAAGATCAACAAATGAAAAAAATGTTAAATGGATTCGAATTGTTGAAAAACTTTTCAACCAATTGAAGTAATGTTATCTTAAATAACTTTATATAAGCACAATGCCTCGAAAATTAAAGATCATTCACATAATACCATATTTTTTAATCGAAAAAGTCTTATTTTATAAGGTAAATGCATATTAATAACTAATTTTATTTTTATTGTACAGTTTAAAACAATCACCGTTTTCATTATTAATAAACTCAATATTTTATGTGAGTTAAGAAAATGTGAAACGATCAGAAATTCAATTGAAACCATGCAAATTATTATATAACAATATGAAAAAAAAAATAAGAAAATTTTAAATTTTTATTTTATTTTCATGCGAATATTTTACAAAATGTTATAATCTTGATATTTTAGCATGTCGAACGAAAAACTTAATAAATTATTAACCAAAAATTTGATAATTAGGGCCGACTAATTCGGGCTGAAATAAAAAATCACGTGAGGTGAAAAAGTGTTGGGGATTAAAAGAATGGATAAGTCACGTGCTTTACGTATAGTATAACTTTAACTTTGTTGCACCACTGCAAATGTTACATTTTACCCCTTGTATTCATTCCAAAAAATGCACGATCATCCGGATATATTCTCAAACAATAAAGTTTTAAAAAACGGGTTTTTTTTGGTCACAATATATAAGAAGAACTCTCAAATTTCTAGGGGGATTTTCGTTACATTTTTTTTCAGTAAAACTAAAATGTCCGAACAGGAACCAAATATAAATGAAGAAAATGGGTCTATCGCAGAATCTTCAAGTCTTAATACTAAATCCACTAAATCTTCAATTCCTTATGCGAGCACTATTAGGACTGCGAGCCTTTTTACCGAATCTACTAGAGCATCAAGTCAATATACAGAATATGATCAAAATGACGAACCATTTATATTAAATGAGAAACAAAGGGAAAGAGAAAATGCATTTTTGGGATATTATGAATGTTTAAACAGTGGTAACTCGAACTTAAATATTCCGACAATGTCCATATCCACAGCTAGAATTGATTTACATGATGTAATATCAAGAAAACATGTGATGAAAGAAGGAAGGCATTTAATTTTAACCAAAATTAAAGAATCTCCACAAATTAAAAATACTTCACTTTTTATTATTACGGGTAAGGGTTGGAAAAAACATGGGGAATATAGTGGAAAAAAATTCAATCAATTTCCTGCATGGATGCAAGATGATGGAATCGTAAATTTATTAGATGGAAACCCTATAAAGGGGCTTGGAACTTATGAAGTAATTATTAAGAAAACTATGGATTCCAATGATAAAACAGAATATAACGATATTAACGAGGAAATTTTAAAGAATTGGGAAAATAAGTCGAAGGAAAAAAATGATGTCACCTATAAAATGGCATTAGCTGGATTTTTTATGAAGGGTAATAAAGATGATTTTGCTAAAACGAAAAAATGTTATTTAGAAGCCAAAAATTTGTATTTAAAAGCCGCAAAGCTTGATCCTATTGAAGCAAACTTATCTTTAGGATATATTTATTCTATTGGCTTGACTCAAAAAAATGATTACAAACCAAGAAAGGCCAAAAAATTATTCAAAAAGGTGGCGAGAAAAGCGGCTGCTTCGAAATCGGATACGAATGAATTAATAGCTGGAATGGCCATGCGAAATATTGCTACGTTGTTTCATAACTATTCTATTGAACCAAGTTTTTTTGATAGATTCAAAAATCTTGCTGTTAGTGATAAAAAGCAATGGAATTTAAAAAAAGCAGAAAAATGGTATAAAAGATCTAGTGATAAAAAAGATAGTCAATCTGCATATAACCTTGGATTACTTTATGAAGGATTTAAAGAAAATAAAGGCGAAGCAGAAGCATGGTTTAAGAAAGCAGTCGATTTTAATAATAATAATTTATATGCGAAAGCTAAACTTGGAAGAATATTAATAAATAAAGAAGGTACGGATGAAAACAAAAGAAACGAGGGAATTAAAATGTTGAAAGAAGCAGCAGAAGACGGGTTAGTTATGGGACAGGTATTTCTTGGTCGAGCTTATGAGGAAGGAATAATTACCGAAGGGAAGGTTAAGGATTACAAAAATGCTGTTGAATTATATTCTAAAGCTGCTTGGCAAAATCGTGGATATTATAGCCATGTTGCACAATTTCGTCTCAAAGAATTAGAAGCTGAAATCCATATTGAAAATATTGACGATATCAAGGAAAT